ATATAATTTATTGTTGTAAACTAAAATATGGCAACATTTTCTTTCACTAACTTTAGAAAAAAAAGCTAAATTTTAATAACTCATAATTCATTGAGCCATTAGGAATAATAAGTACCAACTACACTGAAACAATCCAAATAAATTGTGTTAAATGACCTTTCTGCTCAAATTAAATGCTTAAGCACAATATAAAAAAAAAATAACAAAAAAATCTCTAAAAAAATTTATTGCTACATTTTCTGTCATTTAGCAAATATAAATAATTTGGGTTATTGTAACTGGCCTGAAACAGAAAAAACCAATAAATTAAAAACGGCTTTAACTTCAAACTGTAACAAACAAACAAACAAACAAATAAATAAATAAATGTGTCTTTTTGGTTTCAAATGCAAGTAATTTTTTTTCTTCCAAATTTAGGCTTTTAATAAAACGTTAGATTCCATTTTATGACAAAACTGTGTAGTTTGAATATGAAGCACTTTCCAACCCTTGGAAACACCTAATTGAAATTCAAGGATTTTCCAGCACCTGTACGAACCCCGAATAAAGAAACACAGAGACCCACCGAGGTCAGGTCTGAAGATGACTCGGGTTTGGAGACGTTGTGGCTGTTGAAGAAAATGGATTTTCTTTCTGAAAGGCGCAGAAGAAGAAACACAGAAAAACAAAAGATGAGTTTCTCATCCCGGCCTGCACGTGGCAGCAGAGGTCAGCAGTTACAAGGAGTCACACAGGAACCCAAAGTGAGTCACTTTAAAATATGGATTTGTTAAATGCAGCTGCTTAGGGTTACGGTTTGCTTTGTGTTTGATTTGACACATCAAATGTTGATTCAGAAAGTAAAATTTGCAGAAAAAAAACAACAAAAAAAAACAAAAATATGACATTATGCTTCAGTGTTGTTCTTAAATACTAAACAAAACATGAAAACAGCTGCTGGGAAAACTTTATTCACAAAATTCACAAACTGTGCTTTAAAGAAGAATCTGCAAAGTGAACTTTTTAAGAGTAAAAGTTCGTCCAGGTGTTGAAATGCAGAAATTACGTAATGCAGGAGGAACTGTGATGAAAGGATGAAACTGCATTTTAAACCTTCACTTTCCTTCTGTTTTTATATATTTCTTATTTCTCATTTTCTGAAGCTGTGGAGGAAAAAAAAAATCTAAGTTCATAATGATCTAAATGTTTTGCAACACAGACCAAAAACTTCAAGTAGACAAAAGTCATGGATCACAAAACAATGAGATGTTTTCAAATTTAAATATTAAAAAACATGAAATTTTCCTGCTAAGTAATAAACTGAATGAGGACATATTTAATAGAACAAAGTTTAATATTTGTTGTGGGGCAAAATGTATATTTATTTTGTATTAATTGTTGCTCTGAGGTTATTGTTTTATCACCAAATTGAATTTTTTTGAGTCTGTATACTCGATTAATAGTTGACTGTATAGTCCAGTTAACGATTAATCTGATTAATAGTTTCGGCCTTACTTTTTATTATCAACTTTTAAAACATTTAAGAAAACTATTTGTGCAGTTGAGCCAAATTTCTGCTATTTAAAATCGTCCTGAGAGCCCAGATAGCTCCCAGTATCTACCTGGTCCAATCCCAGTGAGGATCCTGCTTCAGACTGAACGTAACTGTCTGTGTGCAATGACAAACAAAGCAGCTTACTACACTGCAAGTGAAAACGCTTTGCATAAGGGCCTCTACCGTACAACATGCAAATACGGGAGCCATCCGTCCAGGGGACAGCCCTGCTGCTGAGGAAAAGCCGTGTTTACTCTGAGCAGGGCTAAAAGCTGCTGCAGCCCTTAAAAGGCCAACAGCTGCAATCGCAGGGACATTCAGAGCCGCTTTATGAGCTCTTTTATTGGGTGATCTGAACAAGCAGAGCAGAATGTACCGACGGACCGGTGTGGATGTGCACCGTCTCTGGACTCCTTAGCCGCTTCTCACCTGCAGGCCCAGCAGGGAAGTTCTTCAGGGAGGGCCTCTCCACCACGGTGTAGGAGTCCCCCACCACAAACACCTTGTACAGCACCGCGTTGTGGTTGATGAAGCTCTGGATCACACACGGAGGCTTCACGTCCTTCAGGTCCTCTTCACTGAAGATAATGGCCATCTGAGGAGAGAGGAAAAATGTTAAACCTGAACCCACATCAGTGCTGGTCGCCATTTTAATGGTTTATTAGATTAAAATTAGTTCCAACTAAGAGCCTCAGTTAGACCTTCTTTCAGTGGTGTAGTTTGGCCGCCTTCCAGCAGAGGGCGCCGCTGGTCGTTTTAAGCGGAGCCAAACAGTTGAACAGAAACAAAGATGGCGGC